CATAGGACCAAAGACAGGTCCTATCTGAGTGGGGACAACCAGTGGCAGAGGTACTGGGAGAGGAGCAAGTCCCTTCCCAGGAACCTGTAGGTGCGTTCAGCTCTTTGTTGTATGAGGTGCTGACACTCTGGAGCATGGAAAGGCCATAATCAAATCCAAGTCAGGAAGTCTCCACAGAGCTACTTGGGTAAGCCCAGAGAACACCAGTGGCTTTGCCCTGTGGAGTTTCCAAGGGCTGATCTAACTCTTAACGATATTGATGTGATCACTGTCTCTCTGGGGTTTCTGAGATTACTGCAAAGGTCTAAAGCCTCTGTGCTGTACCCACAAGTGGCTTTGTCACCCAGATTTGCATTTGTCTGTGATCATACATCACCTGCATGGCACAGGCAAATCACCACAGCACTGTGAGACTGAACCCAACCTGGGCAAGGGTCCTTGGGTGACAGTGATGCCTGGCTTGGTCTCACCCAGGCCCAGACAGTGTGTCCCCATCAGTTTGAATCCTGTCTTAGGAAGATGTGAAGCTCAACTACTACACTGATCAAGTTAAAATTTTGATTTACTCCTGTGAGCACGTGGCATGAATACAGCGGCAGGAACAGAGCCCGTGGCAGGAATGTGTGTGCAAAAAGATCTAGGCACAAAAGGAATATCCCACTTTCAGCATGTCATTGTGTGGGATTTAATAACCATCTCTGTTTCCAGCCCCAGGTTGGCCCAAGGACTGCAGTGAGATTCCCCGTGGCAGCCACAGCGGTGTCTACATCATCCAGCCCAAAGGGCTCCACCACCTCGTGGTGTACTGTGAGATGAATGTGACCCACGGGGGCTGGACCGTGATCCAGAGGAACCAGAGAGACACACCAGTCACCTGGGCCGAGTCCTGGAGCACCTACAAGTTCGGCTTTGGGAACGTGCGCACCGAGTACTGGCTGGGCACCGAGTACATCCACCAGATCGCCAAGCAGAAGGTCTACCAGGTCAGGTTTGTTATCCAGGACTCTGCAGACACCATCAGCTTCGCAGACTACAACCTGTTCAGCGTGGAAGACGAGTCCCATGGCTACAGGCTGAGGCTGGGCGCCTACAACGGGACGGCAGGGGATGCCATGACCTCAGACAATCCCAACAACATGCATGACAACATGAAATTCTCCACAAAGGATCGGGACCAGGACACTTACAGTAAGAACTGTGCCTACAGCTACGAGGGCGGGTGGTGGTTCTCGTCGTGTTACTCTGTGAGGCTGAATTACAAGGGTGGCATGACATGGGGCAACCTGTGCAAGGGCAACTGCAAATCCTCCCTTATCCTCATCAAACCAGCTTCATATTGTTAGTGCTTCTTCCTCCTCCTGTCCACACTGGACACTCTGCAAAGGCTCTGAATGGCCAAAGAGCATGAGCCCCTCTGGAGCAGAGCGAGGAGCCCAAAGATAGCAGGGCTTTAGTGAAATGCCACTTTCCAATCCTCACTCTGAGTGCAGGCTCCCCTCTGCTCAGCTCTATCCCCCTGTGCTTGCCAGTGATTCCTTGTTGTTATGTTCATAATCAAGAATAAAAAAATTAGTTGTGAAATTTGTGGATTCCCCACATACCTTCCCTGCGGGAGGAAGACACAGCCCTGGAGTGACATCAGAGTTCCCCGCCTCCAGAACTCACAGCGAGCAAAAAAGCTGCATGCCACAAATTTCCATGTACTCTGAGCCTCTCTGCAGTGTCTGGTGAAGCATCCAAATAAATGTGCTTGCTTGAGCTCATTCACCAGTAATGACATCTGTTCTCTGTCCCTGGTGTGCTCCCATGGGACTCGGGAAATCCCATGTTGGGTGGCAGGATGGGAGTCTTGGGATTATCACAGAATCACAGACTGGTTTGGGCTGAAGGGACCTTGAAGCTCATCTCATTCCAACCCCCTTGACATGGGCAGGGACACCTTGCACTAGACCAGGTTGCTCAACCTGGAGGCAGAAAGCCTTGAGTGGTTCTCACAGGAATGGATGTAGGAAAATTAAACCCAGTTACACCGCGATAAAGGCCCTGGGATCTACACAGGGGGGTTCAGAAGGGACCAGGCACGTGGGAGAACTCATCCCACATCATCACCACACTCACAGTCCTGGGTCAGAAGCTGTGGCAACGTCCTGGTGCCAGGGTCCCACTCCTGTTGGGAGGCTCTGTCTGTCAGGATGTGTTCTTTGCTGCCTGGCTGTCTGCACAGACATACTTTGATCCTCTAGAAACAAGATTTCAAAGTCGTCGGTAAATGTCTGCTGTGAGCGAGAAGCAGTGAGCTGAAATAGAAGCAAAGGAGAAGTAGGTTAGATGTTAGAAATGAGGAATTCTCCACTTGAATTAGGAGACACTAATGAGGGCAAAGTTCATCATGGGATCACCATATCCAAGTTTCTGAGACCAATTTAGATGAATTTTTGCCAGGAAAAGTGCAGACTGAAGAGCTAATGCTGTGAGGCTGCAGGACAAGACTGCTACAGCTCCTCCATCCCACAGAGTTCTGGCACTGCCAGGACAGAGTGTTGGAGAAGCATTTTGGCTTTCACAAACCCCTTCTGGTTTTGTGCTGGGGCAGCACAGTAACAGCCATGAGTTTCACTTCCAGGACCAGCCATGAGTTTCACCTTCCACGGCCCGGGAAAACCCATCCCTGGCCCACCAGCTGTGGAGCCCAGTGCACACTGGGAGCCATCCAGAGAGGTTTGAGAAATTAGAAAATGCTGAGAGAAATGAGCAGTGGGAGATGTCCCAGCCAAAAAGGACCTGACACTGCTCCAGGGAATGGCTCTCAGCACTGCAGAGTGTGGGCACCTGCAGCTGGGGGTGTCTGAGGAAAAAGAAAGCCTGGGCCTCCAGCACCAACCACTGAGCCCCCCAAACCAGAGCACAGAGGACTGGTGGGACCTCCATGTACAGTCCGTGCCTGCCTTGTATTGGGCACCACAGCATGGGGAGAGGAGGCACAGGAGAGCTCCAGCATGGATTTGTGTTGTCTGGAAGAGCAGTTCTCCTATGCCAGGAGCACAAGCTGGTAGCAGCAAGGAGAGATGGCTGTTGGGAGGTCCTGGAATTTTTCTTCTAGGTGTCTGAATCACTGCAAACATTTAGTGACCACAGCACCCTGTGGCAGCAGTTCCCAGTCCCAGTGGGGCAGCACTCCCACCTCTGCCCTCCCTAGGGGCCAAAGGGGCTCAAACAGAGCTGTAGTGACAGGGTGTCCCAGCCACAGGGTGTCCCTTGGCTCCCGCCTCTCCGGAGCCGCGAGAACAGGTCACCGAGGTGTCACCAGACGGGTGAGACCAC